CATGAGGACGCGGTAGCGCGGGTCGAGGCGCGGGCCGCTGTAATCGCGGAACTCCAGCTCCACCGCCGCGTCCAGCAGCGAGAGGTAGCGGCGCACGATCAGCGCGTAGGGGCTGCCTGCGGGGAGAGGATGGACGGCTAGATGCCACCTGGGAGCCCCTCAGCCATGCTCCCGGGGGGGCTGACCGCCAGCGAGGCGGTCCTGTGCTCCCAGGGGGTCTGTTCTGCCCAATGCTTTCAAAAATCCACCTCCACCCCAGCCCCAAGCTTTAATGGCTGGGGTTTCCCTTTGAAAAGGTCCGACATACTCCTAACATTGGTGATGAAGGCTGGGGAGAAGACTTGGTGCAGGACGGTCTGGGGGAAGTGACTAAGCTGAAACATGGACATGAGGATGTTGACGGTGGCCAGGGGTGAGCTGCCAGCTTTCTGCTCCAGGATGGCCTCCAGCTTGGGGAAGAGCTCGCTGTGGTTGGATGGGCGGTAATTCATGCGGCTGAAGGGAAACACCAGCTTCTGGATCACCTGCAGGCAGGAGGAGAAGGAGTCGGGCCAGGCCAGGAAGGGGCACGATGGACAGGTCAGGCCCAGGCCTGCCCAGAGTCGGGCAGAAACGGGCTCTCACAATCCGTAAGGATCAGGGCACGTCCCAGTCAGTCCCCAGCGAGACGCCCCAGCCTGACGGCAGAGAAGGGACGTGGTTTCCCCCAGCACCAGGGCAGCCCCAGAGCCAGCCCCAGGCGTTCCCCGCGGAGCGGGGAGGACACTCACCTTGCTGTCAAGTTGCTCCCCACGCTTCAGGAGAAAGTTTGCAATAGTATCGAGCAGCCGTGGCTCACGCAGCCGGTGCCGGGCCACGTACTTGGCAATGAGGGCCATGGTGTAGGGTGTAAGGTTCTCTGCCTTCCTGGGGAGCCACTCTGCACAGAGCAAACCACAGCAGGGTATCCGTCAGAGGGGCCTGGCTCTGTCCGAACTGCAGCTCTCCAGAAGCCACTACAGCCTGGGCAGGAAAGGCAGTGCAGGCAGGTGGGAGATAACAAGACCTGGGCAGCAGGGCCATCTCTCCTGAAACCCAGGCGGCTTCCAAAAACCATCAAGTTATGGGGCTTGTGAGAGGCTGGGGCAGATTCCTGTCCCATGCACCCAGAAGGCACAGCTGGAGCGCAGCTGGAACGTGGACAGAACAGGGGCCCTTCTGTAGAAACCCCACCGCAACCAACCTGCTCCCAGTCTTGAGGTAAGGTAGGCTCACGGCCCCTGGAAGGGCTAAGCTGGGAAGTCAGTGACAGCATGGCCATAACGCAGAGCATCTCCTGCTCCAGCCTCACCGCTGCAGGCCCTGGTGCTCAACAAGGCCCCAGCTGGAGCTGTCACAAACCCAAAAGTCCTCCGGGGCCAAGAAAGGAGGCTCCAAGGCTGCCAAGCGCACGGACAGAGCCCAGCGCACCCCGCAGCGGGGAAGAGGCTCGTACAGTGGGCAAGGCTGGGACCCTGCCTGGGCAGACCCTGCCCTCACCTGCCATACTGCGGATGAATCGCTCTTGGCGGTTCTCGTAGAAGAGCTGAGAGCTGAAGATGGCCTCCAGGGCCTTGTTGTTCGCCTCCTGGGCGCACAGAGCCAGCATCTCGTCCAAGAGGGCCAGCTCATGCTCCCGCATGGCACTCACTTGCCCCAGCGTGTGCCTGACGAGGCGCAGGATCTTGCGGTTGTTGATCAGCTGCTGGTCGGAGGCTGGGTGTCCCTGCAGCGCCTGTGCCCGCAGCCGGTAGTAGGAGAGAAGCAGGAAAAGGGTCTGGGGATGGCGCTCCTTCTCCAGGTGCCGCTCCAAACTGCTGAGGCAGGACTCGACCAGGGGATGGGGGCTGGACGGGTGGAGCCTCATCACGCTGCTGAAGACCATGGAGACGTCCTTCTGGTTGAAGCGGCCCAGGCGGCTCCGGGATTCGTCCTCCAGCACTCGCACCAGCGGCGATTCCCCGGGCAGGCCTGCAACAGGGAAGGGATTAGGGATGCCCAGACCCCACCTCTCATCTTTGCTAGGCACAGCCATCCTTGTAAGCTCAGGCACGTCGCTACAGCCGGGGAAGGAAAGGTTTGCCGCGTTGGTGATCAAACCAGAGATGAGAAAGGGCAAGAGGACAGGTTTGGCAAAGCCTGACCAGAACGTCAGTGCACCTGTACCACAGAAAAAGTCATTTGGAGCCGCTGGATTCTTCCCCCGCAACCCCACCAAAATGGAAGTCCTTTAGTTCATCCGCAACAGCAAGGTTTATTTCCTAAGTCTCAAACTTCCTAAAGATAAATAATACACCTCAAAAAGTACTTCGGAAAAAGAGTTTTGGTTGCAAAACAGGTAAGACATCAGCACATTACCAAAATAAAAACTGTACGACAGGAACTAATCCTTCCACATTTCTAACCTTCTCCCATTTTCTACTTTAGCTATTCAAACTCAGCTCCTCGGGGAAACTCTCTCCTTCAACTCTGGACGTATTATTCAACCATGGAAAGACAAGGGGCCAGGCACACAGTGTGGTTACAAGAAAAGGCAAAGGCCATCCCTCGTGTGTCAGGACAGATATTTTCAGGAGATGCGTGAAGCATTACGCACTGTATGAGGCCCTGGTAGCCCACTGGTCTCCTAAGCCAGCTGGCAAGATTTCAATTTTCAAAAGGGCTTTAAAGCCACTAAGACAGCATGGGGTCATTTGCTGTGTTTTATCATTAATCAAAAATCAGTCAGAAGGTGGAAAGTGAAGAATTGGTCTGAGCAGTTGCTTTGTTCCTTAAAAAGGCCTCAAAAAGGTGGGCTAGCATTTTTATTAATGAGCGGGTAAGCGTGGTGAGCAGGGAAGGGCGACTGACGGAGAACAAAGTGTGGGTCAAAACCAGAGCAGGCCGGGGGGAGCCCAACTGAGGGGAGAGGCGCCTGGCAGCCAAGAGTTCAGTGTCAACAAACACAAGGCGCCGCGAGACAGAGGGGGGAAGAGCAGA